AGCTGAATTGATTTGTATTCGTTTGCATTTTAAATGTTGCAAATCATGGTGAATGCTAGGAGAGCCGCGCAGTGATTTCAATGTTGTGTTAATTTCTCTTTTGGAGAATGATTAAATCCTACTCCTGCTCCTCTTGTATCAACATGCATCCTCGTCATCAACAACGCCATCATCATTTTCTTATCATCATCATCATTGTCGTCATCATCTTTATCATCATCTTCATTTTAATCCAATTTAAGATTATTATTATCAATATCATTATTACTATCCGTCGTTATCATCATCTTCTTCGCCACCATCTTCCATATCACCCTCATCGTCTCCATCATCATCATGGAAATGTTTCTTCCAACCGCAGTGATCACTCCCATCCCATGTTAATGTTCCCCCTTTTTTCGTCTTGTTCCACTGTTTATTCTAATCCCTCCTTCTTTAACCAACCAATTTCAGTTTCAAAAATCCTTGGAAGATTATTGAAGAAACTTACCCGGGGTATCGCAATTGGTCAAGTAGAGGGCGGAAGATCGGTTTTCATGCACTAAAACAGTTTGAGACTCGGTACTCTCTAAGCCGAGCTTTGTAGAGTCAGGAAATATTACGCCTCCGTTTGCTGGTAGGACCTACTTTGGGGGTTCTATTCATTTTAGCCCCCTCCCCACCCCAGAATCGAAAGGACCACTTTAAAGACTACTTGAAAAAATTCGTGAGTGAGAACTTAAAGACATCAAAGTTAAATTCTGGTTTATAATAGTTTGTTTCATTATGTTTCTTGTCGGTCAATTTAAGTTATTTTTATCTTGATTATGTGAGGAAATAATTCCTCCTGTTCGCTACCTCACTCATCGATACTACTATTGATCTTATTGTAACTCAACATTTGATGCCATTTTTATGTTTTAATTCTTAGTTAAAATAAAATATTGATTATATTTACTGGATCAAAATGTCCATAATCACATATCAATATGACCTTAGAATTGTTTTACTTTAGTGCAGGGGGACCATAAAAACTGTTTGACAACAAACGAATCCAACACGATAGCTACTACATGTATTTTCGGAAAATCAACCTAAAGCAATTTAAATCAGCCTTGCTCGTCACCTATTGAAATGTGTGAACATAACAATGAGGTAATACGTAATCAGAACATGATTTCTATCGGGCATACGATACAGTACTAAATTGCCCTTTCCTTGATCAGTTGACTTTTCGAAAATAGACACGAGCGTGCTTTCTGAAGATTCTATGTCGGCACGTTAACTGTTAAACAAATAACATGTAATTCAAACACGGTAGCAACCATTTTCAGCAAATCAACCTAAAGCAATTTAAATTAGCTTTGTGCGTCACCTATTGAAATGTACGAACATAACACTGAGGTATTACGTAAGCAAAACATGATTTCGATCAGGCATACAATAGAGTACTATAATGCCCTTGAGTTGATCTGTTTACTTTTCGAAAATAGTTACGAGCGTGCTTTCTGAGGATTCTATGTCGGCACGTTTACTGTTAAACAAATAACATATACATGTATTTCAAACACGGTAGCAACTATTTTCGTAAAATAAATCTAACGCAATTTAAATTAGCCTTGTGCTCAACCTATTGAAATGTGTGAACATAACATTGAGGTATTACGTAAGTAGTATGTATGTACGTATAGTCCCAAAACATGATTTATGGTATTATCGATTAATCGATTACTATGAAATCAATAATCAATAAATATGAGATATGGATCGATAATTATGGATCAATAAAATCGATAATTGATAAATATGAAATATGGATTAATTAAATATGTATTAATTAAATATGGATGATGAAATATAAAATATGGATCGCTGAACAAATAGAAAAATAGAAACAAAAATGAATAACGAGGAGGTTGTAAGTTTGTATGACGTCACGCAGTGACGTAGTGTACGACGAGGGGGGTTGTCTCGTGTTTTACAATGGAGTGGAACCTGGGAAGGTATGACGCAAGGGTTGAAGGACGTGTAGAGACACATACGGTATGACGTAAGGTTTGAAGGGCAGGTAGAGACGTGACTGTGGATAAACATGATGTCATAGTCTGAATAAAAGAGAACGCATCATCTATTAAATATAGAATAACCACGTCATGGTACCGTAATAGGCACGCTAAAAAAATGTATAAAATACCGTGGACGTGTCCAAAAGAAAATAGTATATTCAATCGTACATCACCGTCACTATCATAATCAACACGATGGACCCTGACAACGAATGGTGCCGTGACATGCAGACAACGGTCGAAAAAGTAGACCTGTTGATGTTAACGGAGTACCTGACGATAGTTGAAACGTTAAGGAGTGTAAAAAACCAGCCAGACGATCCGTCAAACCAGTTACCCGATTTCAAGGAAAATCCGCAACTGATAGTGCACCAGACTGTCAACTACCTCGACCCACAAAAGGTGGAACGTTTCTACCCACACGTAGCCAGGGTGTTATGGATGAAACCATTGCTCGTCGATTGCAGGTTCTACCTGGAATACCTGAAATTCATCTTGAAAGGAGAGACAGTGGAGGAGTTGGAGGCGAGACGTCAAGCCATCGCGAAACACGTGGAGGGGATAGAAGCAGCAGTGGCGGTGGTTTACAGGGCAATGGACGTCGATTCGGGACTTCCACCGCTGACTTGTCGTTAGTAGAAGCCTTGATCGTGACAACTGTGCGAAAATTATGTCCAGGGAGTACCAGTACGGAGTTGACGCGCATTCTACGGCTGTGTCAGGAGGTGTTGAAATTGAAAGACTTTGAAGAACTTACGGTCACCTGTTTAAACGAGGAAGACAACCTACATTCGTTCGTTGAAGTACTTCTTGTAAATAGTATCGAACAAAAAAACCATCCCAACATATTGCACAGGGCTTTGGTAACTCTTTGTTATTTTACGCGAGTGTATGAGATGGCGTCACTTTCAACACACCGTAAGCAGGAACTGCTTTTTATTTTTATAACCAAACTCTCTACCTACGAAATACCATGGATACCACGTAAGACGGGTGTAGGACTAATGCAATTGTTGATAAACCCTAGAGCATTGTATGTCATGCTGTATATGTGTTCCAAAGATGTAAATAGAATCAGTCAGTAAACGTAAGAACCAATAACATGTGTGTAAACAATATATCAACCAATGTTTGAAGTGGTGTTGTGCAGTAGCGATGAATAAAATAATAAAAAATATTAAATAAAATAAATGAAATGTGTTATGGATTATACTTTGTGTACGAATTATTTAAGGAACGTGAGAGAGGTTGAGATTTCAGTGTTGTTGCTATTGGTAGGGACGTGAGGATGAAAGAGTTGAAAATGGTTGAACAAAAGTTAAAATCGATTTATTATAATCCTGGACATTATGCAGGATTTGGAGGTGTGCGGAACTTGGTGAGAGCCGTGAGAGAAGAAGGATTTGAAAGTACGAGTAGTCAGCGGGTTAAAAACTGGCTGATGAAACAAGACGCTTACACATTGCATAAACCAGTCAGGAAATCTTTCAAACGTAATCAAGTGAGGGTGCGTGGTATAGATGAGAATTGGCAGGCAGATTTAGTGGATGTACAGAACTTGAAACAATTCAATGAGGGGTACCGCTATCTCTTGACGTGTATCGACGTGTTATCGAAATACGCGTGGGCGGTTCCCCTCAAGAGTAAACTATCAAAAGACGTGGTCAAAGCCTTTGAGAGCATATTACAAGAGGGAAGGGTCCCGATAGCTTTACACACGGACAAAGGGAGTGAGTTTATCAACAAGGATTTTCAAAAATGTCTCAAAGCACACGCTATACACTTTTTCACAACGGAGAACGAGATGAAAGGTTTTTGTATCGAGAGATTCCATCGAACCTTGCGCACACGTATGGCGAAATACTTTACGTACCATAATACATACAAATACATTCCTATTTTGAAAGAGCTGTTGAAGGGATACAACGCTACAACACATTCCAGCATAGGTATGAAACCCTCTGAAGTTACCATCGAGAACCAGCATCGCGCTTTGAATACATTGTATGGGCAAAGAAAGGAGGGTGAAAAGAAAACCGTTAAGCCGTTTTCTTTCAAGTTTCACATTGGGGATCAAGTGCGTGTAAGCAAAGTCAAGATGAGATTTGCAAAGGGGTATGAAGCCAACTGGTCCGAAGAAATATTCACTATAGCGGCGTGTGTTAAAAGAAAACCACCTGTCTATAAAATCGAAGATTATAATGGTGAACGGTTACGCGGTACATTTTACGAAACTGAACTTCAAACGGTGAAGAAAGCAAAGGAAGACAGGTATCTCGTGGAGAAAGTAATACGAACGCGTGTACGGAATAAAAGAAAACAGTATTTTGTACGTTGGAAAGGGTATGGAAAAGAATTTGACAGTTGGGTTGAGAGGGTCGATGATAAACGTTAAAACCATCATTCATGGTAAAGTGTAGCTCACTGTACGTCAGGTCAGGGATGTTAAAAGGTGTTTCACCATGGCCTCTCACTTTTATGTCAGTTTACCTTCCAATAGCAGTATGTTGTACTATCCCGATAACAAGACGTGTAAATACACTACAAAATTACACGCGCCATTGTCGTTACACGACGATTACGAAGTAGGATTATCAGAAATACAATTTCAGTGTACGTGGTACAATGTAAGAAAAGGAAACAACACATTGTATATCTATGACCGTGAAACTGTCACGGATAGCGTACCTCTCTTACGTCAAATAACGGTACAAGAGGGATATTATATGAACGGAGTTGATTTTATTCATGCTATCAACGCTGCTTTAGACGTCGCAACACGTGAGAAGGTGAACTTTTCTTACATCGAGGCCTCCAGAAAATTTGCTATACAAGTGCAACCTGGCATAGGAATAGTCTTACCTTGTAGTTTAGCGAGGATGTTAGGCTTTTTTGAAAAGTGTAATCTTACACAATCGACAGAAAGTCCGTCTCCAGTAGATGTACACATGTACTTTCATTCCTTCTACGTGTATTCAGACATTTTACAGTTTCGACACGTAGGAGATACTTCCGTTCCTTTGTTGAGAACGATCGCCGTCATGCCAAGGTCCCGACAAGAAAACATAGTCAATACTTATATAGCACCCCACTACCTTCCTCTTAAATTGTTCAACTTTGAAACAATCGACATTATAATAACGAATGAAACGGGTGAGGTAGTACCATTTGAACGTGGGAAAGTGCTAGTTACGTTACATTTTCGAGAACGCTCTTCGCGATTATCCTAAATAAAAGTATGTACCCTTACGCAACGAACCGTGTACTCCGTAGTCACGTGTTCCATAATCAGATGGGGCGTGGTCTACCCGTATTCAGAGGAGCCGCTATGCAACGTGGACACGGTCTAGGGAGTCTGGTCAAGGGTCTTTTTCGTGCAGCTACTCCTTTATTGAAGAAAGGGGCCTTTGCATTGGGAAAGGAAGCCATGTCGACGGGTGTCAATATTATGCAAGACACCCTCAGCGGTCAATCATTGAAATCTGCGGCTAAGAGAAATGTCAAGAGAGCTGGAAAACGTTTGGCGGGTAAAGCTATGGGAGGTGTGCGCAAGAAAATGAAGGCAAAAGCGAAACAAAGAGGAGGTGCTCGCTTTCTACTCGTGAGAGATGTTAAAAAGCAGTCGCGGGGTAGAAAACGTGTCATTAAAGCTAAAGGCCGGCGTACGAAAAGACCTCGCGTGGAAGATATTTTTGATTAATAACGACTGGAGTTAAACTGTATAAACATGTCTCTTTTACATGAAAAAAGCGACGCTTGTTGTAAATCTGAACTTGATTTGTTCACGGTACCACACACTCAACTTAGTATTACCAAAGGACCCTTTATAGAATATCACCCCGTCAGTAATATAACCGATACAGGACCTATTGAATTCAACGTCGCTGGAACGGCCGAAGAGTATGTCGATCTTTCGCAAACCATGCTACAAGTTTCTGTCAGAGTATTGAAAGCAGACAATACGCCTATCACCGCCGATGACCCCGTAGCACCTGTGAATCTCTTCCTCCCTTCACTTTTTAGTCAGGTGGATGTCATGTTGAATGAAAAACTGGTATCACAACCCTCCAATACATACCCTTATAGGGCATTAATGGAGACGTTACTACACTACAACAAGGAGACAAAAGACTCGCAGCTTACACAACAGCTGTATTACAAGGATGAAGCGGGGAAAATGGAGGTGGTAAATCCTTTATTGCAAGGAGAGCACGGGAATCAAGGACTCGCAAAAAGACACGGATTCATCGCTGAGAGCAAACTTCTTTCTATGCTGGGACCCATCTACGCAGACGTGTTCTTTCAAGAAAGATTATTATTACCGGGGGTTGATTTGAAACTCAAGTTGAATCGTAGTAAAGACGCATTTTGTCTTCTTTCTTCAAAAGCAAACGCGGCCTACAAAGTAAAGATCGAATCTGCTGCCCTCTTCGTTCGCAGAGTCAAGACGAGCCCTTCCATCATGATTACCCATGCCAAGGCCTTGGAGAAAACAACTGCCAAATATCCACTCAACAAAGTGGATGTACGCTCTTTCTCAATTCCTACTGGAAACATGTCCATCAACCGAGACAACCTATTTTTAGGACAACTACTAAACCGTATCATCATCGGGTTAACTGACAACGACGCCTACAACGGTAGTTATGCCAAAAACCCCTACAACTTTAAACATCTGAATATCAACTATATATCAGTGACGATCGACGGAGAAACGGTTCCCATGCGCCCTTTACGGCCCTGCTTTGAAGAGGGAGCGGGTCAGCACTATATACACGCTTACAATTCCTTATTCATGGGTACAAATCGTCTTTTCGCGGACAAAGGCCTGGATATAAATAGAGAGGAATATCCTAAAGGGTTCACTTTATTCGCTTTTGACCTTACCCCGGATGTGTCAGACGGATGTCATTTAAATCTGATTAAAAGTGGTAATTTACGTCTTGAACTACAATTTGACAGACCCCTCCCCAACACGGTCAATTGCCTCGTATTTTCAGAATCCCAAGGACTGATCCAGATCGATAGAAGCCGCAATCTCATTTATGATTATCAGGGTTGAGAAAATAAAAGGATGGATACTTCACAAATTCAACATGTGCTCGTGAACCACCCAGCCACGAAAGACCAGTTTAAAGGCGTTTTCGCCTTGGACCAACTTCCACGTAGGGTGAATGACAATATTGGATGTTACGTCGTAAATACAGACCCAAGCACCAGCCCCGGTACCCACTGGGTAGCATTATATTTCAACGACGGGAAGGGGACTTTTTTTGACTCGTATGGAAACGCCCCTTTGTATTATGACAGGAAGCTTTATAGTTTTATGATGGGAAAATCTATAACAATGGACTATAATGAAAAGAGACTTCAAGGAACCCTTTCTTCCGTGTGTGGACAATATTGTATATTTTATCTCATCGGTCGTTGTAAAGGGTATACGACGCGGGGTATTTTAAAGGGGTTTGGGAAAGACCACAGTAGGAACGATATGAAGATAAATGATTGGTTTAACAGGAAACATAATACATCGTTGCCCGTTCTTGATATTAATTTCACTCTTCGGCAAATTGCACGAAGTATCGATGAATTGTAAATAATCCGCTCGCCTATCCTACACGTTGATTTGTTTTACTTTGTAAATATACATTTTGTTTTAAGTTTATACTAAGTAGACTATGTCTTAATATATATATCATTATATATTTATATATTTATAAGTGTTTTATAGTACGAAATACTTTAGAATCCTACGGTTATCTTTTTTCTCTCTCTTCTCACCAACACCTCTTTCTACATCACGAACACGTTCGCTACATTTCTCTTTCCTGTCATGTATTTTATCTCTCTCTCTCTCTCTCTCTCTCTTTCTACATCTTTTTTTTCCTCTGTCAAAAAAATAAAAAATAAAAATAAAATAATAATAATAAAAAAAGTTCTTTATATGTCTCTCATCTTTCACACCCATTCTCTCTTCCTCTGCCCCTCTTTCTGATAGTACACGTTACGTCTTCTCTTAAAATATAAAAGAATACATGAAGAATGAATACACGAGAGAACCAGTTGTAAAATGTATTAAAAATATTTTAAAAAGTGTGTTGTTTATTGAATAAAATTTCGTAAAGAAATCATTTTTTTTTTCAGTGTGTCGTTCTTACGTTGTCACGTCTTATATTTTCAAACTGAATAGCACTACAAAACATACAATGCATGTAGACTATATACAATATATACATCAAGTCAGGTTACAACTTGCATAGTGTCATGACGGTTGTGTTTGTAAGCTGTCCCTATCTTAAGTATGAAAATGGTATAACCATCGAATATGTACACGGTACACAGCAAGCAAGAAAAATAATAAACAAGATTTAAATAATGAATAAAATTAAAAAACAACAGCAACAAACTAGTTATAGTAGAAACAGTAGGATAAACGTCGTTCTACCGATTCGCCATTCCACCGATTCGTCAGTTTAACGAACATAAAACATACTTTTTTAGTATACGTTTCTAGTCGTATAAACAATATTATTTTACACAACCTAAACTTTATACAATTCATTATGAAATAACAAAATAAAAAATTATTATAAACGCTACTAAAAGACAAGAAAAAAAAAAAAAAAAAAAAAAAAAAAAAAAAAAGAAAAAAAAGAAAACAAAATTAAAAAAAAGAGAGAAAATAAATAAGACATAGTGTTTACACCCGTTTATTAATAGGGATCCCACTGGTAGGTTTTAGGACCATTTCTGTTTACTTTTACACGTTTAGTTTTTGTTTTGGGAGGTGTCGAGTGCTGTACATCGGAGAGGGGGGATTCCCATGGCGCTGTCGGGGTAGATTTGGATCCTGGGTTACCGCTTCGTTTCCACCGTTGTAGATCGCTACGTCGTCGTGGGTTGCTAATAAAAGTCTCTGGAATGTTCATATTCGCCAATACACTGATAAACTGGTCACTGCCAGTTGGGGTATAGCCACGACGTTCCCTGAATATGTCATACATGACGTCGCAAATGTTACTTCCAGTAATAGTTTTGTTATTTATGATAAGCTCACCGTTTTCAGTCCAATCGATGTTTTTATCGTTCTTCAACTTTTGCAGCAATTGACTGGTTCTCTTTGCAAATGTTTTTGGTACATGGTCCAATATATCACGGTCTATTGTTGTCTCGTGAGGCGTGTCGTGCGAAACAGCGTCCAAGCCCTTCGGTGAAGAGGTACTATCGGAGGTTGAAATTGTATTGTCAATAAGCTCTAGGGCTAACGGTTTCTTCAATGCATCATTGGCTTCGAGATAATGATGTAAGTGTTGCGAATATAACTGGGCTTTTGTATGTTCGTCCATGTCACCGCGTTCTAAAATAGCACGAATTTGATTGTCCAGATTATTGACCTGCTGTTCAGACGATGTTGTAGTTGAATTGTTCTGTAGCGTGTTGAGCATCGTCTGTGGAACAAGAACCATTTTCTGCGTGTGCTCCATATCGGATTGATTATAGTTCATTTACCGCCAGACAGCAACGATGTGATACCTCCGAGTACAGGTGCTATTATCCTTGCAAGCAATCCAAGAAAACCTCCGCGTTGATTCAAAATTTTCTTTCTTTCTTTCAACGGTGTTTGACGGTTTGACAGTTTTCTTAACTTGAGTTTATGTTTACCCAATGTTCGTTTCTGAGTTCCTGATATTTTAACGTTACCACGTATCACGTTGAGCACACATTCACAAATGGCATCTATAAACCCCTTGTCCGCGCTTTTGATGAGTTGTGTACGCTGGTTAGCTGTACAATGTGCCAGAGTCTTTAACAGCGCCGCATGGGTCTTGATCCGTCGAGACATGTTGAATAAATAAAGCTGTTTGTAGCGTAAGGTGCGATTTTATACCCGAGGTACGTAGGCAACTTGGGTTTCTCCCGGGAATATATGAGTTCTCAATCGTACCTCCTCCGGAGTGTCGGCTCTCAGATCCACAAACAGGTAACCCCATTTCTCTTTGGTAGCGTCCTCGTAGGCTTCCCTGAAGAATTTTTGCCGCCCCGGATACATCTGCCTCCCAAGACATGTAACCTGTAATTTATCTCTACAATTCTTGAATAAACAATAATATTGTGTATTTAATGAAATGGTCCTTGATTCCTTCCCACGGTGAAACAGATTTTGCGTGATATAAATTACGCTTACATTCCTATGATGGCACCCCTTCGTAAATAAAGCTGCAACCCTTTTATCGTCGCCAGCCACATCCATCAAATCATCTATAACAAATAACGTAGGACGTTCGCTATCGGTCAGACTATTAAAATCAGCGGGGAGGTTTTCATGAAATTGAATATTTGGAATAGATTTACTCATTTCCAGGTAGGAGGGTTGAAATTCACTATAAAACCAAACCACTTTGTGCGGTGGTTTATCTATCATGGTGGATGCATTTTTTAAAAGACGTTTTACAAATTCAGTTTTTCCAACAAAACTAGGTCCAACGACCATGCATGAAAAGCTATGTTTTAAACGAACGTCCATGTTAGAAGGAGGCAAATACATGTATATACAATGAAGATTTAAAATGAAGAAAAAACAAACAAACACACAGATATAAAATCATGAACAAAAAAAAAAATGCAGAACGAGATAAGTGAACGTGAATATTTCTTATCGCAAACAAGAGATGTGGGTATATGCGCATGAATATACAATACAACTTATTAGTTACTACTTTAACGCTACAACGTAGAGGTCGTGAGAGGGATAATTAACGTACTGGGTTCTTTTATGTCACCAGTCTACAAGTACACTGACGTTTTCATACAGTTTAGAACCGTTTAAAAAGGTATTATTTGAAACTGTATCCTGGCCCTCGACACTTTCTAAAATAGTTGCTTCCAGATAAAAACTGAAAAATAACGTTGCGATCAAAAGTATAAAAACACCCACGCTCCAAAGGGAGCCTTGGCTTCTACGTGTTCTTCTAAACAGGGCATGCAAATCATTAACGTATGCTGCATCCATCTTGGGTACTATATAGTCAAGAAAAAATGTAATTAGAAAATAAACGTCTTTTAACAAAGACAAGAAAAGGCGTAACATGAGAGAGAGAGAGAGAGAGAGAGAGAGAGAGGTATACTATGTCAAATACACGACGCTTAGAAATGGATATTCTTAAATGAAAACCAGCGCTTGAATGAGGTAGAAAAGGGCATGTCAACTCTATTTATACGGTAGGTAGAGGAGGTATATCAACATGGCCGTACGGTAAAGTTTTGCCATCTTCAAGACGGACCCTCTTCGTGAACACAACCCTGTAATTCTTAGACCTCTTCACCGTATGGATTGTCTTGGCTTTCACATCCCTGATTATTTTTGATTCGTGAATTGTACGTGTGGTCCCTTGTTCACTCTGAAGGAGTTCGTTCAATGTGTCATGGTTAATGACCAAAGAGTTCATTGCATTCAGAGTGAAACCTCTTACTTTGCATACAGTTATCCCTTTGGAAGTCCTGTAGCTGTAATTCTTTGGACCACCGCATAGCCATGATTGTATAAAATCCTCGCCAGTGGCGTCGATCTCATCGGTTAGATCACCAAGAAAATCCCCGGTGACAGGGTCTAGATGGGCGTGTTCAGGGTCCGTCTTGAACACCACGCTGTCTGTGTCCATATATAAAACCCTATCGTCCAGCTTTTCCAACACGCTATACAATTTCAAGCGCGCTAACGCCGTTGTAAAGCTGGCCAATATAATGTTGGTATTGACATTATGGTCAACAAATCCCTCCGCTTGTGTGTAGTGTAACTCTACCATATACTCATTGTGTACGATCAAGTCTTCTACGATTATCGATTGGTCCCTTAGATAGGTGAGAATTTCATCGGTGGTTTTAACATACACCGTTTTACGCAAATTTGGGCGCTCCGCAAATTTTCCCCACAGTACATTGACGATTGCTTTAGCAATAGCGCGCAAACCAGGATTTTTACAAATTAGAAAAGGGTCAAGATTGATACCCTCGTGTTCGAAATAATCGTCGATGTACTTTTGTTTTGCTGCATCTGACTGCGCATGCGCGGGGTAACCCGATGACTCCTGTTTAACTTTAATGAAGGAGTCGATGTAGGGAGAAAATAAACCCCCTTCTCTAGTAGACTTGTCGTACACGGTTGAGCTCTCAAAGTGCCAAACTTCCTGCATTCTAACGTTAGTGTAACCCTTCTCAACAGCCTTTTTGATTTCTTCACTAACCCAAACACCGTCTAACTCCCGTTCAACATCCTCGTGCTTACACGTTCCACTGTTCATTGTCTCGGCACAGGTACGGCAGAGGGGAAAGGTCAATTTCCCCTCTGACCTGAATGGCAATACAGGGTGGAATAAATTCTTGGGAGGGGTAATTTTGCATTTGATCAAGCCAAATATGTCCTCGAGAGGTGGGAAATCGGACAAAATGATACGAGGATGTCCAACGGGATATTTTGAAAATTTGTTTATGAAAGGATACAAACTTGTGAAGTCATAGTAACGTATCTTTTCACGGGGCCCAGCTTCGTAAAAGAGACGGCAACCATCCGTCCTCCCCCCAAAAAAGGAATCTCTAGGATTCAAAGGATGACGTAACCCAGCGCTAAAATGCTCGACATTCGGTAGCAAATCCCTAACTTTGTCACTC